CTTAAACATAATCGAATTGTGTAGTGGTAGGAAAGATCTGTGCAGCTTTGGCAAGCTCCAGCCCCTTCCCCAGCACCAGTGTGGAGTGGCTCTGTACTCCCTTTGATCTTTCCTACTGAAATGTTGTATCTCCTCATCCAAAAAACCAGCAGCAGGGAAATCTCCAAAGGCTGAACAGTGCTTGCTCTTTCCTGCGTATGGATTCCTTAATGGATGCCCTATGCCAGTGTGAAAAAAAAATTTTTAATCAGTCAGGTCTGACCTGAATCATCTTCTAAGTTGGGTCTCTGTGGGAATGTAGTTTTAAGGACAGTTATGCTAAATGGACTAGTAGGGTAAAATAAACATTGGTATGATTTAATTAAATTTTTTCTAGACAGTTGCCACTTATTTAACAGTTCTAGTAAAAAGCTGCTTATCCTCTATTTCAGATGGAGGTTTGCAAGAGTCCCAGTGTGGCTGTAATATTTTCTCCTAGATAATGTGCAGCAAATGTCTTTTGAAAATGCAAGCAAGTTGAAAAGTGAAAATGTGGGCAAGAATTAAAAGTACTCTGATTTTTCTGTGCTAAAACTCCTTGCAAAAAAACCCCTCAAACCCTGCTTCTAAGTTATTTTTGTTAAATGAAGCTTTTATGTCTCTTCATTCCTTGATTAGGAATGCAGTGATTTGAAAAATTTAAGATGTTGAGGTTTCAGAAGTGTCAGGGATGCTCAGCTTTTAAAAAAACATAAGTAAAAATTTCAGTGCTATACATTCAAAAGAAATTGCTGTAAATGTTTGTGGATATGCAAATATTTCTGATAAATTTAATGGGGCAAACTTTCATGTCATTAAAAAGATAAAAAATGTACACATGCATGATCAAGGTAATATAGGTCTCTAAATACATTCTGTGTAAAACAGCTATGTGATGCATCTAAGGAGTATTTATCTAAAGCTTGCTGTAAGAAGTGTTGAATCTGAACACTACCTTAGCAGTTTTGTTTCTTAATATTGCAAAAATGATTAAAAACTGCTTCTGAAGTATTTTCTTGAAAACCGTCAGAAGTGGAAGGTCCAGATTTTAGCTTCCAGGTGCAGACTGTCACTTATGCTTTAAGTTCTGCCTACTTATGCATTGTTTCAATATCTTTTTGCACTTCTTGACCTGATGGTTTGCTTGTGTTTTGTAGTTTTGTTGTTTTTTTGTTTGTGGCAAACTTTTTATATTATGCCTGGACTCTGTATTATGCGGAGTCATATGGCCTCTGACTTCCCAGCATTCTTCACATTTTTATTGTCATTTACTTACATGGGAGAAAATGGGTTGAGAAGTTGATAACCAAGCTGAAGCAAGAACAGGCTTTTCAGTTGGTTCTGTTATAACTGGCTTTAGGTAAATCTTGCAAGGGAGGAAATGACTGTCAAAGGTACTAAGTAACAGAAAAGCTGGGTGGCTGAGGTTGAGGCTAGTTAAGTCTGAGGGGTCTAGGTCTTTGTTAGTGGCAGTTCATTGGAGGTAAATTTAATCAATTTTTTTTTTTTAAGAACTAAATATTCTTTTATGGCATGGCATACCTTTAGATTCCCACCCCCCGGGCTGTGTTTTCTGATATGCCTGTTTTTTACATCTGCTTTTTGATGAGGTGTCTGATTACATGGTTTTATTTCATCCTGTTCTTTGTATAAATTGGTGAAATTCAGATTTTCCTGTAGATAAGCATTTGGCCTTTCAGTTGCTTCTGCCTTGTGAAGAAATTAATTCCTTCAAGCGAGCGAGTTCAGCTCCAGCTGTGACTGTAGATGAATGTTCTTGCAGGGTCATGTACTGCAGCTCTGAACCTAAATAAAAGGATTAACAAGGGTTCACTTGGAGGAAAAATGCTTAATTTCACTATAATAAGTATGAGAACCCATAGGGAAAACCAATAAAGCTTTACTATTAAAATTGTTAACAAATGATTATTCCACCCTGACCCCCCTTCCTACTGTTATTGTACTTTTGGAACAGTAACAAAGGATGGGATTGACCTAGTTCATGGTAGTACTTTAGTCCCTGGCCTACAAATAATCTTTTTCTTCAAAAATAATTCCTAGTCTAGTTCTGTTAGGAGGCAATGATCATATTTATGAAGGAAGTGATATTTTCTGATGCATTTTACACAATCTTCTTCCCCAAAACTTTGCTTGGTGTGAAGGGAAAAAGGGCATCATGTTAAGAGGTAGTTATGCTGGGACTAAGCCTGACAGCCAGCAATACCCAGATGATACATCTCATCGCTCTGGAAGAGCATGTACATTTTCCAAAACAAGCACATACTGATTTTAATGATTCCTGGCAGAAAGAGAGGATTTCCAGGATGACTCTCTTCAGCTGCATATATAAACCTCATTGTCTTGTCTTCATTGGCAAGACTGCCCAAAAATTAGGAAGAGCAGAGAGGCTAGCAGGGGGCTTCCTCACTCGGTAGTATTTCTGTTGGCTGTTGATGGCTGGGATACCGTCCCTTTCCATTCAAGCAAGCAGTGGAACGGTTGAGTTGCTATTCAGGGCAATACTCTGGTCCTGGAGGTTTCTTCTGTCTTTAACAGAGAGTATGAGGAGAGGGTAGAAGTTTGATTGCTGTGGTCTTGACTCTTTCCCCATCATTTTAGGACTGCCAGCCTCAGGCAGCACTATTATCTGAGTAGTCAGATACTTTGGGAAGGAAAACTAACTAAAATTGACAAATGTAACTGCCCTGCTTGGTATAAGAAATCAAACCAGAAAAAAAAAAAATCATCTAATTTTAAGATTAAATCTTGATATTGGCTTTGTCCCTTGTGTTATTTGGGCTTTGGAAGTGGTCAATGAGTCCTGGTTGATAAGCTGTTGACGCTCTTGATCTCCAGGCTAGAAAATACCAGCCTATCTGGATTGCTTGCCAGAAGCTCCTGGTATTGAAACCAAGGCATATGGAGGCTGGTGCATGAACAAGTCTTCTCAATAATGGTCAAAGGTGCTCCTTGAGCATGCTCTTAGTGTCAAGAATAGGGAAGCAGTTTTGGTTTTGTCATGTGGTTTTCTGTTCCTTGTTTTTACTTCAAAGATTTTACCCCTCTGAGAAATATTTGTGTCTGGTATATATTTGCAAATATATATATAACTTTTTTATTGATTTAAAATATTATTTAAAATATTTATTTATTTTTAATAGTTTGTAAAATTATTTCTCCATCTTTCTTTCATCAGAAGACCACTTCAGAGAAAACAAACAAAGCAAAAGTCTATGGACAGCATTGTGCTGTGTTTCAAAAATGTTTTTCATTTGTGAACAGATGAACATCATACCGAACTTTGAATGTTGACCCACTTTTTTATTTCCCTCCTGTTGTTTTCTTGTTTGCATTCTCATAAATGTGGTTTCAATTTTTCTTATTCATGATCATTTTGTGGACCACCTTCTGAAACTGTAGGGACCACCATCAGTCCATAGGGATGGCTGAGGACTCACAGTCTGCACAAAATTCCACATAAGTTTTTGTTATTTGTTATAACCTTGTTCTAGCATTCTGAGTCAAATGTTTCTGATGGTCTCTTGTTTACCACCTAATGTGGCTTTAATTAGTCACAAGTGGCAAGTATCTTCTATAGGCAGAAACTAACTGCAGTTAAATAGATTAGGCATGCTCCTTCATTAGCTTCATTTTATCATTGGTTGGTATGATTTTTGCGGCTGCCTGTTCAGGTAAGCAGCCTGTGCATTAGAAGTATTCTCTTGTTTTTCATGCATTTTTCAATGATCTTAAGGAAAAGGTCACTTTTTGCAGAGACTCTAGCTATTCTATGATTCTCTAACTCTATTGGAAGAAACTTGAGGTTTAAAAGCATGTTTTACAGAAACTGTTGGCATGGTATTCCTGAGTGGCCTGGTTTTGGTTTAATGTGACTGGAGTTCCAGAAAGTTGGGGTTGTAAGGTGAAAATTTTAGACCAAAGCTACTGTGGGTAATAGTGCAAGTATCAGGTCTTCTCCATTTATATATGTTAGATTTGAGTAAGATAATATTATAGTGTGTACAGGGGAGAAAATATGTGATACATGTGTCATTCACAATAAATATGACATCCTTTATAAAGGCAGAAATGTTAGCATACTCTTAAAAAGTACTTTCCCTGTGTCCTTGAAAGCACATTTTGCCCATGAAGTTTATGGTGATATTCTTGCAGACATGGGAGTTAATCACACTACATGAAATCTGAAAGGTTAATTTGCTAGCTTGCTGCATAGTTATTCTCTGTTAATCAAGGAGATGCATGCAACATTTGCAATACATGTTTTTTTTTCCATTTTAGTATTTAATTTAGAAAGGGAGGACTTCTCAGAGATACAGTATACTTACTGTAAGTAGCAGGGTCTTTTAATGTACTCATGTTGTGGGCATAAAGTAAAAATGCAGCTCCTAAAGAATGTTCTATCCAGGATTTTTAAAGTAGTCTTTGTACCTGGACACCGAAGGAATTATGGAGCTTTCCAATGGAAATTGAAAGTAGAAGAAAACATATAAGAAAAGGCATGTTTCATATTTGGCATAAGTTTTTCTTTTTGTAAAATATAACCATAATCTGGAAATGTGATTTCCTTCCATGTGAGAACTGAGAAGTTTCTCTGCATATAGAGTGTGAAATAATATCAACAAGTCAATATGTGGATACAACATAGTTGCCAAATCATTAAACCAACTAGGGATGACTGCTTCTTTTTTGATGCTTCTATTTTTACATATCATGCTGATTTTCCATCTACAATTACTTTTCTTAATAACTGCATTTCTTGTGGTTCTAGTTATGCCACAGATGAATGTACCACAGCTTCATTTGAATGCACAGAGAAAAGTTCTAAATAAAAACGTATATTAAGAAAAAAATCTGAACAACAATAGCAAAAATCCTTGCAACTCTGAAGTATTATTGTTTAAGTCATGGATTTGATGACTTTTTATTGTGTAACACATTTATAATTCTTTTTAAACATTTAGGAATTCACCAGATCTTTTTGTTACGTGGTTGCTGAAGCATTAATCCTGGGACAGAAGTAATGATTGATGAACACCCTTCAGGTAAGAAGTCAGATGTATGCCATTTGGAATGGTTGTTCATTAACTTTCCCCACATTGTTTTGGTTAAGCTTCAATAGCAGCATCAAAACTCACTGAATATAAAATATAAATCTCTCATCTACATGAATGTTTACATATGTCTCTGTAAATCACTCTGAGCAGGTTTTTAGTTTTTCCCCTAGATTTGGTAATTCTGACAAGAGATGACATTGCATGTTAAATGATCAAAAGATTATTGCAAAATATGGTCTGTCATTTCTAATTCTTCCATCAACCCACCTGTCCCTGTAGGAATTAGTTCCATCTACTTTAAGTTATACCAGACTGGAGCATCTATTCCATCAGGCTTTACATCTCTAAGCCACACTTGGCTTGGTAAAAAATTTTGAGGTTTGCCCCTTAGTAAACTTTTTACTAGTTAGTTTGCTAACACTTTGATAAAATATCTCCATGAGGAGGAAAACAAAATGCGTTTTTGTGTATTTGTAGTGAATTCCAAGCTCTAGCTGTCTAGTGTAGTCTGTTCTGCCTCTTGTGATCCACTTTTATTCACTCAAATTTTGTGCTTGGATCTATAGTGGTCATGACTAATCTGATACATGTTTTGCTGCATCTCCATATGTCTTGGTTTGTTAAATAAGGACCTCATAAGATTAATTTTTCTCAATACATCCACTCTAGCAAACATATCTATGTGACGCAAGTACAGTAAAAAGAGAATGTATGCCAGTCAATGGGTGTTTCATTGCACAAAGCAGCAAATCCCCATCCTCAGTCATCTTGTGTGATGTTGATGAGCTATGATTATTATGATTACATAATTATCCTATGTAATCGATTAGGAGGGTGGGAACAAACAAGCTGCTGCTATTGTAGCCTTTACTCTTGGCACTGTATAAAAGAATTTCCTTAACTTCTTTTTGAATTTTATTTCACATTAGCTGTTACAACTGTAAGGCCTGAATATATGGACAATTTCAGCTTTTCTTGGGTGGTTTAAGTAACTGTTTCTTTGAGGCTGGGCCAATTCAGGATGTAGTTGTCAAGTTGTTGATACCCTTGGAAGTTAATCCAAGCTTGTTAAAGCCTACACAAATGCAAGCAAAGGTTGGTCTTGATTGAATTCTTGCTCTGTTGCAAGCTTCCTGGGAAACTGTGAGCAAATCCTTTAGTCCCCATATTAGTGGGATATAAGTGCCTACATGCCTGTGTGCTTGCATTTCTAGTAGAGAAGACGGTGTGTCCAGAGTACTTTCTTTTGCAAAGCTTTGATATAGAATCATAGAACAGTTAGGGCTGGAAAGGACCTTAAGATCATCTAGTTCCAACCCCCACAGCCATGGGCAGGCCCTGGGCTACACTGAGCTTTTTGTGCACACATCACCTAGTGCTGGTAAAGCAGAGCTGTTGGGCAGTCAGTGCTCAGAAGTGAAGGTGGGTACTGGTTCTGTGGCTCTCTCACTTCTGGTGTCTTTGTAATGTATAGGTGTGAGGCAGCTGCTTGGACCTGTCTTGCTTTTCTTTTTGAGCTCATTTCCCCGTTTTTAATAATAATTTGGGGGTTGTGTGGCCTTTATGTTCTGTACCTCCTTGAGTTCCACAAACAAACAGAGAAGATGTTCCATCTCCTGAGCTGTGAGGCAGTCACCCTGGTCATTTTTTTTTTCCAGACAAAATTCAAGATTGTGTGGAAGAAACCATTGTAAATTGCTACTATCCTGGGGACACACACTTAATGGGCTGAGCCTCCTAGCAACACATTAAAGTATAGGACCATTAATCAGAATTGAACTATATTTTTTTTCTTGTTGTTTTCCTTTCGTACATTTAAAACATTGTTTTCATGTTCACAGAAACTTTAGGTTAAAGAGGAAAAAGTAATTACCCAATACTGCCTTTGCAGCTAAATCATTGCACTGAGGACCTGAGTGCACACACCCCAGCTAATGTGTCAAGGCTATGGAAGAAAGTGTGAATATTGCATAAATCCTCCTGTCTTTCTTAGGTGGAGTCACAGAAATACACTGTGCATTGTATATGATGTTAACTATTGTGGTAGGATTGTCAAGCTTGAAAAAGCTATGGCTTTGCTGAAGGTAAGCCCTATTGAAAAGATAAAATTTGCTACTGATACTGCGAAAGTACAAAGTACTACACTTTTTAAGCATAGAGGCTTTTAAAATTCTGCAACAGCAAGCAGAACCAAACCCAGCCTTCAGCTAAAATCTGAAAGCTAGTTAAAGGAGAATAATTTCATTATACTGATTCTCCTTCTTGGCAAAGAATATCTGGGAGACAGAATTTATGCAGCTGGGTAAGTTTGGTTCAATTTTGCTCTTAATTTTCCTTTTTCTTCAAAAGACATAATAATCTTGGACATACTATCTGCTCCTGATTACAGAACCACCTTAATGTTGTACACTTATTTCAGTCCCATCTGCCCTCATTTTTCCTTCTGCATTTATATTTGGGGCAGAAGGTAATAAGGCAGCTCTTTAGAAAAGATTGCCTTGATATGCAAGGCCTTCAGCTGAATGCTTATGAGATAAAAGGCAAGTTGAACCTAACATATCATTTAAGGCTTTTTCAGTTGAAGGTGATTCCACTGTGTTTGTTCTGATGGCTCATGGAAAAGCATGTAAAAGACTGTCAAGTTGGCTTTTCTCACTAGAAGAAACTGTTGAGCGCCTTTTCCCTCCAAGTCCCCAGAAAAAGGGCAAAGGTGAATAACTTCTGGGAGGCTGCTGGACACTGAACTTGACTGTGGTACAAAAGGTGCAGCTATTTAATAGAGAAGCAAGATGAGGAGCCTCAAATGAATTAGCTTTACAATACTAGAACTGTAATAGAACTGTTTGCTCACTGTTTTAAGCCTTCAAAAAGGGGTGGTGGTGGGGAGAAGAGCAAACCTGATGCTTTGCTTGCTAGTGCAGGGAGGAGTGGCTGAGAAAAACATGAGTGTTTGAAAGTGAGTTGGCCTGTTTGATTAAACTAAAGAGAACAAGGTATATCCACAGATCGTCTGGATGCATGTGGATTGTTTCATGCCAGAGACTTGTATAAAATTGAAAAAACAGAGCAGGCTTTTTTTTTTTTTTTTGGTCTGTAGCAGGATATAACTAGATTGTAAACTTTGGCAGGACTCTCAACATCTGAATGCTTCTTGAAGCTCTGGCAGTGCTTTTGTAAAACTGATTCTGGAACTGGAATAAATGAGAGGGTTTTCTGTATTCTTCCTCATGTTAATTAGGTGATACAGTAAGTTTTCTATTTGTCCAGAAAGAGGTCAAAGCTAACAAGTACTGGAGAATGGAGGAGCCAAACAAGGATAAGTAATGAGCCAATTTCTCAAACTGGCAACAACATACCGAGAGTTTGGAAAAAGTATGCTAGCAGGCTTCCTTTATTATTATAACCTCTTGAACAGAATAATCCAGTCCAAAGAGCTATAAACGCTTTCCAATAGAGAATTTTATGACCTAGTTTCTGACTGAAGCACAGTATCACAGTGTGTTGAAAAAACTTAAATGAAGATGCTGGTGGCAGTGCCTCTGGTGTGTTGTATTAGAAACTCAGTTACTTAGGCATTCCTGCTCTTTGCAAATACTTGTTAATTGGAGTCAAGTGGACTGAACTTGAAGCATTGGGTTTTTTTTTTGCAGGAGATGTAGACATTTAAATGCCTGGGTTGGCATGGAGAATTTTCATAGGATGTCTGAGTTTTTTTAGCACAGCACTGTTTGGAAAAATAATTGTTCTACAGTTATTTTAACAGTAACTCGGCAATTATAGGATGCCTTTCTAGACCTTGTGTTCCTTTAGAACAGTGAAGTGGAGGAAAAAAGTGCATTTAGTCTGTTCACAATTATAAATCGCTTGGAAAGAGGCATGGAAAAGTTTGATTAAGATTCATTCGATCTATGGCCCTCCTGTGAGGAGGAGGGCAAAGATTTCAGGGGGAATGTGCGGGGAAGGAGTGACAACAAAAATGTTGACCTGATTTGAAGAGCAAATTGTCTGAAATTGGATAAACACTTCTCTTTGTTTCTGTTAGCCCTTGCAGGAGGCATCAGAACAAGCCACATTTCAATTAGCTGCCCTGGTGAGAGGCTGGCTGGCATGGCATTTCTGTGGCGGGGAGGAAGCAACATAGAAGTAAACTAGAAAGCAGTTACAAGTTGGTGGATTCAGTTTTTGCTCCCTTTTACATTTTTCCTGTAATTCACTGATGCTGATGAAAGCAAGGCAGCTACACTGATATCCGTCACCTGTGGCTGTGACCAACATTATCTATTCCTTTCTCATGCCTCTTCAAGGAGGTAGGCAGTGAGGTTTTGAAAGCACAGACCATTCATGTCTCAGCCAAGAAGAATTTCTGAATGTTGTTGAAATACATTAAATAAGACTTGGTTAGCTTAGCAAGAGCTATAGCTAGAATTCTTGCAGTGTTTCAGTTATAATTCCTTTATTATTCCAGTTGCTTATAACTTCCTGAAATGCTCATGTCTCAAGTTGAAATTTTCCAGACTTGATCTTGGCCTGACAGTGACCTTTCTTCCCTTTTCTTCTTTGTTTCTCTTTTCTCTGCGGTATTAAGTGAATATGGCTTGGGCGTTTCGTTTATAATGAGAAGAAAATAGTAGAAAAATACACTTCAGCTGTTACTTTAAAACTCTGAGACTGAATAGCCCAAGTGTTGCGGCTGCTGAAGAAATGGTGGTGAAAATCATCAGAAGTGCTTCTTGAATCTTACCAGAACATGTTGGAAGGGACACTTAAAGGGCCATGAACTTTAGGTCTTAAATTTTAACGTTCTCCCCATCATGCACATATATTACACTCTTTCATAATTATCACATGCAGTTATTTTGGCCTTATCAGTGATCAGCTGAATTGAAGCAGTAATCGTTGGTGAAAGAACAGATCTGTTTTCCACTGTTTGCAATGACCCTGGCAAGGCACTGCTCATAATTCAGGAACGGAGTAACACAGCTGGCAAG